TTCTAGTAAACATAATTTACTTCAAAGAAAATTAAATTATTTTCTACTTTGCTAAATCTGTGGACAAACAGTACTGCTTCTCTTTTCCAAGTATCTCTACCCATACTTTGATGACCATCTGTGCCAGGGTGGTTTTCTTTTTTTTTTTTTTTGAGACAAGAGTCTTACTTTGTCACCCTCAGTAGAGTGCCATAAAATCATAGCTCACAGCAATCTCCAACTCTTGGGCTTAAGTGATCCTCTCGCCTTAGCCTCCTAAGTAGCTCCTAACCCCACCAGCTCCAATGTAAGTGGCTGGCACCCTTAGCCACTGAGCTAAGCATCAAGCCACCAGGGTGATTTTCTTTTTTTTTTTTTTTAGATAGGAGCCTCAAGCTGTCCCCCTGGGTAGAGTGCCCTGGCAGCAACCTTCAACTCCTGGGCTCAAGTGAGTCTCCTGCCTCAGCCTCCGGAGTAGCTGGGACCACAGGCGCCTGTCACAGCACCCGACTATTTTTCCGGTTGCAGCTGTCATTGTTGTTTGGCAAGCCCGGGCTAGATTCGAACCTGCCACCTTGGGTGTACGTGGCTGCACCTTAGCCACTTGAGCCACAGGCGCTGAGCCCAGGGTGGTTTTCTTCACGTGCCTTGTACCTCAGAGAAACCTTGAGGTTCACAGCAGCTTCTTGGCAAAGAAAAGAGAGGTGACAGGACCCATAGTTGACTTCCATATCTTTCTCCTCTCATCCCGCCCCAGGATGCTGAGATAAACTACTTCTCTTCCAAGTATTTGTTTCCATGTATAAACTAAACTGTTCAGATTATTCATGGTTTCCTTCTTTCTGGGCAAATTTAGAAAACCGGAAACTTGGATCAAACTTAGTACAATGGTAGCTCTGTTGCACTGTGCAGTCTGCAGTCATTAAACATGTTCAAGTCTACTCAGTCCACAACTTAAATTAATCCACATGTAAGGACAAACATGCCTAGATTGGAGATTAAAAAAACAAGTGTGTGCACAAGGAATAAAGATGGGGAAATAATACAGAGCTCCTGAAGAGCAACAGTGATTGGAATTCACCCCTGCTCTTCCTCAGAGCTACTCCTTGTATAACGTGATTCTTTACCACAACCACAGTTTTAAGAAAACAGCAATGAGAAGGCTGGGCATGGTGATTCACGCCTGTAATCCTATCACTTTGGGAGGCCGAAGCAGGTAGATTGCCAGAGCTCAGGAGTTCCAGACTCCTGAGCAAGAGCAAGACCCTGCCTCTAAAAAATAGCTGTGCATTGTGGCGGACACCTGTAATCCCAAGGGAGACTGAGGCAAGAGAATTGTTTGAGCCTAAGAGTTTGAGTTGCTGTGAAGCATGACACCATGGCACTCTACCAACGGTAACAAAATGAGACTATGTCTCAAGAAAAA